GGCACCTGTAGTCCCAGCTACTTGTGCGGCTGAGGCAGGAGAATGGCATGAACCCGGGAGGCAGAGGTTGCAGTGAGCCGAGATTGTACCACTACACTCCAGCCTGGGTGACAGAGCAAGACTCTGTCTCAAAAATAATAATAATAATAATAAATAATAATAATAAAATAGAAAGCAGGCATAAGAGTACCTATGTTATAGATTTTATGAATTCGATATGTAAAGTGCCTAGCACAGTACCTGGCATGTCAAAAGAGTAAACTAAGTGTTCATTATTATTATTTTCTTTATTACCCCTGACTCCTGGGCAACCCTCCATCTGATTGGCGGCTGAACTTGGTCTTGATGCCTGCAGGGAGGCCACGTCTTGTCTTCCACAGGTCTTACTCTGCCTTCTATGCCCAGCCGCAATTCTGTGGCAGAGACTTCTGTCACCAACCTGCTGTGAGTCTTTGAGCCCCATCCCCTTCCTCATATTCCTCTCCATTGTGCCCTTTCTCTGAATCCCTTCTGGGGGAGATTTGTCAGCATCTTTGCATCTGCCCTTCTTCTGGCCTGTGCCTCCTGCCCTCTCCCCAGCACATGTGTCCCCTGCTTCCGGCAGGAGGGAGAGTGGCAGTGGAGCATGTCTGGATCTGCAGGTGATTGACACGGTACGCAGCGGCCGGGATCGTGAGGATGCTGTGATGCATCATCTGCTCTGCGGAGGCCTCTACAAGCCGCGCCGTAGGGTGAGAGCAGGCAGCATCGGGATTTTGAGGGGGTGGAGGTGGTCTGAGGAGAGCTTAAGAGGCAGTTGGTGCCAGTTTGTTGGAGAGCTGCAGATGCCCAGCTAAAGAGTGTGGGTTTCAGCCGGGTGCAATGGCTCACGCCTGTAATCTCAGCACTTTGGGAGGCCAAGGTGAGTGGATCACTTAAGGTCAGGAGTTCGAGACCAGCCTGGCCAACATGGTAAAAGTGAAACCCCATCTCTACTAAAAATACAAAAATTAGCTGGGTGCGGTGACACGTGCCCGTCATCCCAGCTACTTGGGAGGCTGAAGCAGGAAAATCACTTGAACCCGGGAGGCAGAAGTTGCAATGAGCTGAAGTCTCACCACTGCACTCCAGCCTGGGCGACAGAGCAAGATTCCATCTCAAAAAAAAAAAAAAAAAAAAAGAGTGTGGGTTTTATCTCATCAGTAATAAGAAACCTCTGCTTTATTTTTATTTTTTGGAGAAAGGGTTGACGTAATACAAGCACTGTTTAAGGATACCTTCTCTGGTAGCAGAGTGCAGATCAAATTGGAGGGGGTGAGTTGAGAAGCTGGGAGAGCCAGTTGGGAAGCTGGAGTGAAATATTGTGGATTAGGGCTGGGCGGTGGGAAGGGAAAGGGGCACATAGGCCTAGGTGATTGGCTCTGATGGTGAGAGGAGGAGGAGGAGACAGAGTACTGGGGCCCTTGAGGGTCACTGGAGAATGATGGGGTCACAGACAGAAGCAAGAGCACTGAGGAAGCCTCCTAGACCAGCTTAGCCTATGGAAGGTGGGCATCTGTTTCAAATAATGGGAGTTAGTCCAATGCAGATCGTGAAGCTTTACAGCTGGAAAGGCCCAGCTCATCCAGGAGAGAATCTGTTGCAACCCCACAAGAGGGCAGCAAGCCATTACCTTGCACCTTTCTAAAATGGGAAGCCGGCTGTCACCAGTTCTGGCAGTTTCAACAATCAAAGCTCTTACTACTGTTGAAACAGAATTGGCCTCCTTTAACTTGCACCCACTGGTCCTGATTTGACTCTTTGCAGCTCTGCAGAATAAATCTTCTAAAATTTCAAGACAGTTCCCTTTCACACAGGCTGTCTTGCCCTCAGGCCAGCATCTCTTACCTCCTGGTATGTCTTCTCTGGACTTAAAAAAACAAGACCCAGAATGGAAGTTGCTATTCTAGCTGTGGCTGGCCAGGGAAGGACCTAGAAGCTCTCTCACCATTCTAGTTCTAGAACTTGCTATTTCTCTTCCCAGAGCCCAAGATCCCTCCAGCCTTGGCTCACCACTCTGGGGCCCCACATTGTCCTTAGAAGCTGCTAAACTCCCAGGTCTTCCTCAGTTAATGGCTGGCAGACCCTGACTCACCTCAGCCTATGGGGATTTTAAAAAACCTTTCTTATTCAAAATTCCAGTAGAGTGAATAAAATAACTCATATTGATCTATCAACTAGCTCTGAAAAATCAGTGCATGATTAATTCTACTACATTCTGCAGCCCTACCACATCCCGCCCACACTTTATCTTAAAACAAACTCCAGACATCATATCACATCATCTCAGAATATTTCAGTATGTCTCTCTAGGTGGCAAGAACTCTTACATCCAGTCAGTATTCAATAAGTATCTTTTTTCCAGCTGGATGTTCAAATCAGGGTCTAAATAAGTCCACACTTAGCATTTGGGAAATATGTCTCTTTGTTTTAAAAAATCTATAATAGTTCTTTTTCCCCTCTCTATCTCCCTTGCTATTTATTTATTGAAGAAGCTGGATACTTTGTCTTGGAGAATTGCACATTTTCTAGATTTTGCTGACTGTGTTCCAGTGGTGTTGTTTAACATGTTCCTCCGTTCCCTATATTTCCTGGTTGTTAAATCTAGAGGCCTGATCAGATTCAGGGACATTCAATAGGTATGCTATATATTTTCTGTGGTGTCACATCAGGAAATACACAATGATTTGGTGTGTGTGGGGGGGTGTGTGTGTGTATGTGGTGTTTGTGTATAAGATTGGTCAGTGGGTTCAGTCCAATCAGTTCATGTGTAGTCTGTTTTTCAAAAATCTGGAATAAGTTTGTGTGTATCCTGTTAAATGTCATCTTACTTGCTTTAGCCCATCATCCCATTGTTTGGTTCCTATGTCTGCCACCAAATGTCTCCTTCTTAGATTCATATCATCTGAAAATTTGTAAAGACTGTTAACTTTGTATTCATCCAAATCCACATAAACATGTTGAACAGGATAGAGCTGAGGACAGAGCCCTGTGGCATGCTACTAAAGACTTTCCTCCAGACTGACATGGATCAAGCATTTTTGGGGTATGATAACTCAACTAGTTCTGAATCCACTTAGTATGATAACACAATCCACAATTTCTCATGTTCTTCATCGAAATACCATTAGAGAGAGACAGAGATATCTAGTATGCAGTTAGAAGGATTACAGTTTAATAGAGAGATAAGGGCTGGAGAGAGATTTGGAAGCTCCATATCAGGTTTTGTCACCTGGCTACCATAGAATCCCCTGGGGAACTTCCTGGCTTCACCTGGAGATTCTGATTCTGTAGTTTGGAGTGGGACTAAGAATCTGTGTTCTTACTAAGTTCCCCAGGTGATTCAAATGCAGCTGGTCTGATGACTGATGTTGGGGGACCACAGATCTGTATCACTGGGATATCTGGGGCAGAGAGAATGGATAAGTTTTCTGGGGAGAGTGTTTCGTGGGGCGGGAGGAGAGCTAAGGATAACACTGAGGAGTGCACATGCGGGAAAAGGAAAGAGAGCCAAAGACAAGGAACTCTTGGAGAAGCGGTGGCAGGTGGTGCCTCAGGCCTGGGGCAGAAAGAGGGCTAGATGCTGTGCAGAGGCCTGGCCAGCACCTAGGCAGAGCCCACAGCACTGGTGACCAGCGAGAAGGCAGCACTGTCGAGTTGTGGACCCTGGAGTTGCATTTCTGGTATTTAAGGAAGTAGTGGGTAGGAGAGAAAGTGTCAGAATCAAATTATAAAAGTGTAGCAGCAAAATGGAGACAATGGTGTTCAGGGGAAGACATTCTTTAAGGAGGCAAGGGCAGGAGCTTGAAAACAGAGGGGAGGGAACCAAGTGGTGAGGGAAGGAGTGAAGATACAGGAGAGTGGATAAATAGGAGGCAGCAGGAACTGCTGGAGGCAGGAAGGAGGGAACTGAGCAATGTGGAGGCCGGGGCTGGGCAGCAATGAGCCTTGTGAAGGAGATGGACCCCTTCTCCCCAGGAGAGAGGGTGCCTCCTAGTGCAGAGTTAGAGGAGGAGGACAGATGGGAGACTTGAAGGGGGCTCTTAGAACTGGTTCAGGGAAGCAGAAAATATGAGATAAAGGGACCAGACTTGGGATATGAGGCAAGATAAGATGATTTGGCAGGCGCTGGGCAGTATTTCAGGCAGTAGACGATGAAAAGGTCCTAAGCAGGGAGGGTAGAGGCAGAGGCAGTCTAGATGAGTGTGTAGTGGACTTGGTGTTGATAAGGGTTAAAAAGAGCATGGCCAGGCACAGTGGCTCATGCCTGTAATCCCAGGACTTTGGGAGGCCAAGGCAGGCGGATCACCTGAGGTCAGGAGTTTGAGACTAGCCTGGCAACATGATGAAATCCTATCTCTACTAAAAATACAAAAATTAGCCGGGCGTGGTGGTGGGCACCTATAATCCCAGCTACTTGGGAGGCTGAGGCAGGAGAATTGCTTGAACCCCAGAGGCAGAGGCTGCAGTGAGCAGAGATCATGCCATTGCACTCCAGCCTGGGTGACAAGAGCAAAACTCTGTCTCAAAAAAAAAAAAAAGAAAAAAAAGATGATGGGGGTGATCCTGAATTATTGGGACTGAGAAGGTCCAGGGTGTCACGGGAAATAGTTATGAAAGTTCAAAGTGCAGCCCAGAATATCATGGTGGTGGTTGTAGAAATGGCTAGATGGGAGATTCCAGCTGGAGAAAGGATCCTGTGGTGTAACTAGAAGGGGGCAGGTAGGCTGGATGTGTGGGAGAAGCTCAGATAAATGGAGGTACAAAGAAGAAAATGTCCCCTATGTTGTCACAGTAGCAGAACAAGACAGAGGGTCACCTTCAAACCAGAGAGAATCGGGAAAGGTTGGCAAGGGGTGGGGAAGGCCAGGTTTGGGGGAATAAGTTCTGGGATAAAGGGAAGCTTTTCCCAGGGAACTGAGAACACAGTGTCTCTGGCTGGGTTCCTGTTGTATTTTTTGTTTTGTTTTTCAATCCATTGTTAATTCTGGAAAAGCTGGGCTGGCAGGGCCTGTGGTGAATATGTTGGGGCGGTGGCCTGGGGTTCCTGTGGGAGGCCAAGGCATCCGTCCTCATAGCCAGGCGGGGCTGTCATTGCCAGTACAAAGCCAGCTGCAGTCGCCACTTCATCTCAGAGGATGCGCAGGAGCGGCAGGACAAGGAGGTCTTCCAGCAGAACATGAAGCGGCGGCTGGAGTCCTTTAAGTCCACCAAGCACAACATCTGCTTCACCAAGAGCAAGCCGCGACCCCGCAAGACTGGCCGCAGGAAGGCACGTCTTCCCTCAGGGACTCCTCTTCGGAGCTGGAGGCTGACAGCATGCAGATTTGAGCCCCCAAGTATTAGGATCCAGCTTAGGGGGACCCCCAGTTGGACAGTCCTCAGGGACTTGATGACTACAGCAGTTTGGGTTCCCTTTTAGATGTTCCTGGAGCCCCAGAAGTAAGGTGAGACCTTCAGAGGGAGAGCAGCCTCTTGGCCATGTGGTCACCTGCTGGGAGGCAGCAGGGCCTCCTACCAAAGATGAAAAAGGCAGGAGAAAAGGAGATTCCTTTGAGGGGCAGCTCCATGAGCTCCTAAGTCAGCCCAGGCTGATGCATCCAGATTTCTTGCTGGGGCATGGGTCACTCTTGCCTGGTTGGCCAAGGGATGGTAGAACCACTGGGACTGACACAAATTCCCTCCCCTGCTGGGTTAGGAAAACTTGTCCTGTTGACCCCACCAGATGACAGGGTTGGGGTGGGAAGTCGGGGCCAGAGGCTCAAGTTTTCTTTCTTGGTCCTCAGAAGGATGGAGTGGCAAATGCTGAGGCTACAAATGGGAAACCTCGAGACCTGGGCTTTCAGGACACAGGCAAGCAGGGAGCAGTGTGGGATTGAGGATGGGAGGGAGGAGGGAAAGGGCTGGGGCTCGCCAGCCAGAATCCTGGATGACCCGCTGTAGGGTGCATTAAGCACTGTGAACTGGGGCTCTTCCTCCAGGGACTTGATTTCCAAGTTGGAAATGTTCAAAGCAGTAATTAGACAATGTGTGACAGGAGTCATCTGATTGCTAACTATGGGTTATAGGCCCCGAGGACTTGGAAAAGGTGTCATGGAGAAGGGGGAGCTTGGTCTGAGCCTTGGAGGATGGGTGGACCCTGGGGCCCAGGGTCCTGTCTGCAAAGCCAATTTTGTTTTGTTTTTTGAGATAGAGTCTCACTCTGATGCCCAGGCTGGAGTGCAGTGGTGCCATCTTGGCTCACTGCAACCTCTGCCTCCCAGGTTCAAGAGATTCTCTTGCCTCAGCCTCCCAAGTAGCTAGGATTACATGTGCACGCCACCACACCTGGCTAATTTTTTTTTGTATTTTTGGTAGAGACAGGGTTTCACGTTGCTGGCCTGACTGGTCTTGAACGCCTGACCTCAGGTGATCCGCCCGCCTCAGCCTCCCAAAGTGTTGGGATTACAGGCGTGAGCCACCGCACCTGGCTGCAAAGCCAGTTTTGTATGAGCTGAATATTGATGGGCCTTCCAGCAATCCAAGTGCTCATGTTTCCAGTGGATCGTGGGATTTGGGGCTGAAAGAAGAGGATGGGGGAGCTGGAAAGTGTAGTCCTCATGGCTGCCTCTGAGGACTTAGCTTCCTCTGGTCACCTCCTTGGGCTCTGCAATGTCAACTTCTCTCCCTCCCAAGTCCCCACCTCTTAGGCCAGTGCTTGAAACAGCCAGAGGAGAAAGCAGGTGTCTCTGCCAACATGTGTTCTGCCTAGGGAGACAGCGAGCTGGCTTGGGACTGTGCAGTCCCAACAGGCAGCTGCCAACCCAGGCCACCTGACTCTGCTCTTGTCACTGTCCAGCTGCTGTGATATTAACCGTGGAGTCTGAGGAGGAGGACGAGGAAAGCGACAGTTCAGAGACAGAGAAGGAGGACGATGAGGGGATCATCTTTGTGGCTCGGGCCACCAGTGAGGTTCTCCAAGAGGGCAAGGTCTCAGGTAATGGCTTCCTCCCTGCCCACCTCCCTTCTGGAACAAGCTGGTTTCCTTTCTCTTCACTCATGGCCTCTACTCCAGACAACTCCCTTTTCCTATTCACTAGTTTATTCCTATTCACTAGTTTTCCTATTTCCTAGAATAGTTTTCCTCTTCACTAGTTTATTCATGCCAGCATTTGCAGAGCATCTTCTTCATACCAGATGCCCAACATAGGTGATATTCAACTCTCACAACAACCAAGATGGGGAAACTGAGCTCAGAGAGATTAAGAGACTTGTGACTTGTCCAACATCACACAGTAGAACCAGAATTTGAAGCTGACTCATCTGACTCCCAAGCCCACAGCCTTTCTTTTTTAAATTTATTTATTTTATTTTATTTGAGACAGAGTTTGCTCTTGTCATCCAGGCTGGAGTGCAGTGGTGCAATCTCTGCTCACTGCAACCTCCAGCTCCCAGGTTCAAGCAATTCTCCTGCCTGAGGCTCCCGAGTAGCTGGGATTACAGACATGCACCCCCAAGCCTGGCTAATTTTCATATTTTTAGTGGAGATGGGGTTTCACCATATTGGCCAGGCTGGTCTTGAACTCCTGACCTCAGGTGATCCACCTGCCTTGGCCTCCCAAAGTTCTGGGATTACAGGTGTCAGCCACCATGCCCGGCCTTTTCTTTTCCTTTTTTTTTTTTTTTTT